GTTACTGTAGATGCCAAACGAGGCTTTCCTATAGTTGGTCATTTTTTTAAAAAAATCAGGGGCTCAGAAACTATTTTAGAGCCAGCTACCAAGGCTGGAAATTATTTTTTAAAAAGCAGGAATGGTGGGAGAAAGTGATGAAGGAAACCCCAGTAATGTAAGAGGATTCCTGTCCTTCTCAGCTTAAAAAGAACCACTCTGGTTCCTGCCCAGCTCCCAGGGATGGGGCAGTTTTGAGATGTGTGAGCCCAAAGGGGAGCCCAGTCCTGAGACCAACATATGCATGTATGTATGTATGTATGTATGTGAACGCTCCATTCTCAAAACGCAGTCCCTCCTTCCCTACTTCGACCTCCACTCTGCCCTCAAGGAGGAGTACAAAGTAGTTGAACAGAGATCAGAATGGGAAGATTCACCCCCTAAAACTATCAGGTGTCAACAGTATTTGTCTTTACCCCACCCTACCCCTTTAAAACACTTTATTCTCCCTTCCACACAGCCCTATATCCCAGAATATCAAGGCAGAAAATCCCACAATATCTGCTTTGAAATGGGATATCTGAATCCACACTCAGATAGTGTCAGATTTCTGCCTTGATATTCTGGGATATAGGGCTGTGTGGAAGGGCCCAGAGTGTCAGGATTGTATGTAGGAGAAGGGGCCATGGATGGGGAAGATGGGCACCTAGAAAGAATGGCTATAAACACGCCTTGGGGGGACCAAGGATGGCTGCTCAGACCAGACTCCCAGCTTCGTCTAAGGAATGAGAAGGGAGGCCCACATCTTCTTTTAGGGAGCCACCCAGGGCTCCCTAAAAGCGGCTCTTGAGAGCCAGAGCTGATCCTCCTCCTCCTCCTTCTCGGTTTGCCAGATCCTTTTGCCCAGAGCCGGTCTCCAGCCAAGCGGCCCCTCGGCCCCCAGATTAAATTAAGGACAAGGCGCTGGGCCGGGCGACATTATGGAGCTCCGCTGGCGCGTCAAAGCGCAGTTTAACGCATCGCTTCCACTCAGTGCGCGCCAGGCTCCGCCGGGGGAAACCTCTTAATTTCCCCCTTTAACCTGCGGGGGGAAAGAAAGGAAGAAAGAAAAGAAGAAAGGAAGGGGGCCAGGGAGAAAGAAGCCTTTCGCCCCTCCTTTGCCTGGCTGCCTCGCTCCCCCCATTCCCCTCTCTTCAGCTGCAATCAAATCCTCATTTAAACCACCCACCCACCTACGTCGCTAACCGGCTCGGAATTCCTGGCTTGGGAATTTCTAATTTATTTATTATTTAAGCCCGAGTTTCTCCCAATCATCCCATTTGTCACCAAGCAAATGACGGCGCTGTGTTTTCAGCAGAGCCTTTGATTTATTGGGTTGAGCACGCCGGGCTCAGACCTCCGAAGCCATGCCTTCCTTCCAAAGGAAAACTCCACACTAAAGAAAACTCCAGAGAGGCCGCGTTTCAAAAGCTCCTGCGTTGGGCTTCCATTGACCACTGTTCCCGGGAAATGTTGCTCTGTTGAAATGGGAGGACAAATGCTTAGGATCCCTTGGACCCTCCAGTATCCTCTGTGAGAGAGAAAGATGCCAAAAGGGAATTGGAGAGGCCGGAAAAGCAGTCCAGGCGAGGTTTGCCAACCTGCGTCCAGTTGAGGGCCGTTTTGCCAAGGCAGGAAGGCCAAGGGAATAAATAAACTTCACAACCCGGCTAGTTTGGGGTGTAGTAGTTTAGCAAGACTAATTGCAGACAATGGAGCCGAAATGACTTTTCCAATTAGCTGCTGGTTGGAGTTTAGTTGGAGGAACTGTCAGCTCCAGCGATGGGTAATTGCTTTATTGCTCACAAAACTATCATCTATTTAGAACATATGTGCTAATTACTGCGGATGGGCGTTGGGGAAAAAAAAAAGAGAGAGAGACCATAAATCTATTAGCACTTGGAAAAAAGTCCATGAGGTTTGTTTGAGCTCGCCTTGGTCGGAGAAGCTGAAGGGAAAGAAAGGGAGGCGGATAGCTTCTCTTCCCAATCCGGATTCAAGCAAAGGAAAGATAGGATCCTGTGTCCACAACCCAGCCCAAGCCGGGTTGGAAGTAGACCATAAACCAAGCTCGGCCTGAATTTGGCCTCTTCCCTCGGTCACTTCAGGAAGGCTCCTTAGAAGGAAAGAGGCAGGCATCCCTTCTTCTCCGCATTCCTCCACGGCCATAAATCACTTCCCTTCCCTTCCCCCTTTTCTTCTCCCCCCCCCCTAAAAAAAGATTAGTTGAGAAATCTTTTAATTGGATTATTCTTGGAAAATTAATCTCCTTTTGGTTGGCTAAATTTTGTGTACCAAATATTGAAAATTAAATCCGCCTCATTTGAAGGGAGAGAAGAGGAGGAAGAAGATATGGAAGAATATGTATTTTTTTTAATGGTAGAGGGGGTTTGTACGAAGAAAGGAGGAGGGGGATCCCTAAATAGAGAGAGGACCAACAAAAAAAACAACAACCCCTCATCCCAAGTTGGACGTCTAATTAATCAGGGAATAGATTTGTCAGGAAATAAGTAGACTGGTCTGGGAAATAGCGAGAGGGATAGAAGAGGACTGTGGCGGAATCTATACCAAGCCTGGGCAAAGTTTGGCCCTCCTTCCAGGTGTTTTGGACTTCAACTCCCACCATTCCTAACAGCCTCAGGCCCCTTTCTTTTCCCTCTCAGCCGCTTAAGCGAAAATAAAGGGACCTGTGGCTGTTAGGAATGGTAGGAGTTGAAGTCCAAAACACCTATAGTGCCCAACTTTGCCCAGTGCCAAATAATAGAGTTTGAACTGCATTATGTGGTCAGTGTAGATCTATATAATGCAGTATTATATCTCCTTTCTCTTTCCTTTAGGACAGAGAGTAAGGTTTGTTCAAGTTGGAGCTAAGATTAGGGAGGAAACAGGCAAAGAGAGACGGGTTGCGCTTTCCTTGCCAGTTTTCCCTCTCTCATCCTCCCTTTTCTAGGACTAAAGAGCCATGCAATCCTCAGCCAAAGCAATGGGTTTGGACTCTCAGGGGTACCTTAGGTAGATGTAGACACGTCTATTAGGGGATGGAAGTGCCACAAAGCCACATTCGGAAAGGAGAGGAGACGCTGCTTTTGGGGTCTTTCTTTCTTTCAATAACTCCCTCCCCAATTGGCTTTTGGGGAGGAAGAGGGAAGGATGGGGTATCTGGTTTGAAAGTGCGACACCGCCTGCTGCTTCTCTCAGTCCGTCCCTTTGGCTTCTGCCAGGCTGCTCCAACCTCTGAACTTTCCAGTGTGGATTTTCCTTCCTCCGGTAGAGTTCCTTCTTCTTCCCTTCTCCTCTTCGGGCTTTGAGGCGGGACCTGGCTTGCGGAGCCCTCCCCGCGACAGACCCCGCTCTGAAAGGGGATCCCCCACTTTCGAGCCCCATGTGGTTGTTAATAGCCGCCCTCTGAGGTGTGGTTAATTGGGGGGGATCAAGGCGTAATGACTTCACAGGGAGACTGCAATGAGCCTTTAATGTACCTTAAGAGAAACACAGGCACACGAAGGAGGAGGAATTGGGAGAAGGGGATGATGCTTTAGCTGGAAGCAAAGGGATCTCTCTCTCTCTCTCTCTCTCTCTCTCTCTCTCTCACAATATCTTCAAGGGTCCACTTAGGACAGGGGTCCTCAAACTTTTTAAACAGAGGGCCAGGTCACAGTCCCTCAAACTGTTGGAGGGCCAGATTATAATTTTAAAAAACCCCATGAATGAATTCCTATGCACACTGCACATATCTTATTTGTAGTTCCAAAAACACTTTAAAGCAATACAATAATTAAAATGAAGAACCATTTTAACAAATATAAACTTATTAGTATTTCAGTGGGAAGTGTGGGCCTGCTTTTGGCTGATGAGATAGGATTGTTGTTGTGTGCTTTCAAGTCGTTTCAGACTTAGTTGACCCTGAGCGAGGGCCGGGTAAATGACCTTGGAGGGCCGTATCTGGCCCCCGGGCCTTAGTTTGAGGACCCCTCACTTAGGACGCCCCCATGGACTCCATGGAGTTTTATTTAGAAAGCTGGTTGTGCACTGCCTTATAATGCACTTTGAAGTGTATTGTATAGCCAGTGCGGACTCTTATATGTATTACACTGTGTAACAAAATTTGAAAAAAAAAAATCTTTTTTTGGTTTGAAAGCATTATTTTCTATTTAATTGTGGGATACTTCCTTTGCAAGTAGTTGTTATGCTCCAGAAACTTTGTTTTTTTGGCTGCCACAAACTATGTTGAATGGGTTGCTGTGTGTTTTCCGGGCATATCTCAGAAGCATTCTCTCCTGACGTTTCGTCCACACTATGGCAGGCATCCTCAGAGGTTGTGAGGTCTGTTGGAAACAAGGCAAGTGAGGTTTGTATATCTGTGGAAAGTCCATAGTGGGAGGAAAAACTTTTGTCTTGTTGATGGTTTGAGTTTTCCTGGTTGTACGGTTATGTGCCAGAAGAACATGGAAACATGGCCATACAGCCTGAAAAAATTACAACAATCCAACTCTTGTCTGTCTGAGGCAAGTGTGAATGCTGATTGATCACCCTGATTAGCACTGAAAAGCCTTTCGGGAGAGAATGCTTCTGGGACATGGCCATACAGCCCGGAAAACTCACAGCAACCCAGTGATTCCGGCTATGAAAGCCTTCCACAACACATATGTTGAATGGATTGAGACTGGATGAGATATTCATTAAAAAACGATAGCAATACGTGACACAGGATGTCCTGCAAAAACAAATTATTTGCAGTTTAATAAACCCTTTCCATGTTTTATGACAGAACAAATTAGGAAATGGGATGAATAACCCAGGAACAAAAATCGCGTCACACAGTGGGTTGTTGTAGATTTTTCGGGTTGTATGGCCATGTTCTAGAAGCATTCTCTCTTGACGTTTCGCCTGCATCTGTGGCAAGCATCCTCAGAGGTTGTGAGGAATGCAGGCGGCGAAACGTCAGGAGAGAATGCTTCTAGAACATGGCCATACAACCCGAAAGACCTACAACAACCCAGTGATTCCGGCCATGAAAGCCTTCGACAATGCGTTATGTACAGTATATAGCTGCATTATATGGATCTTCACTGAGCATGCAATACACGCCAAACTGCATTTATACGGCAGTGTAGATTCAGCTTCTGGAGAGGAAACTCACAGTGGTTTTGCCATCCCTAGTATTTGTTGATGGTTTCCCATCTAAGTACTAACCAGGACCGACCCTGCTTAGCTTTCCATTTCAGAAAGGTGAAACTTTTGGGGTCTTTAGGGCAGTTGGTGGTCTGCTGCATCCCCAAGAAAAAGGAGCCCATTCATCTGGGATTTGGAAGACTTTTCACAAAGGGTTCTCCCGGTTATGTGTTTATGCAGTCGCCTGAAGGCAATGCTTTTAAGACTGACAGCAGGGAGGGGGGGATCCATGATGCCAGTCAAAGCCTAAGAGCCCCGTGGGAGGGCAGGGAGAAGGTCAACCCCGGTCTCCCAGGCCAGGCTGTCTCTCCCTGGGCCCCTTTGGGAGGGCAGATCTAATCAGGTCCCCCTGCTTGGCCCTCCTTCCTCCAAGGAAGGGAAGGGGCCAGGCCGCTGGAGGAGGGTGGCAAATGCCCAGAGTGAGGAGGGCTCTCTTTCATGTTGGAACTGAGATGAGATGAACCGGACACAGCCTCTTCCTATTGCGAAGGTGTCAGAAAGCAGCCAGCTGGTAGACCACAGCTTTTCCCCACTGCTTGCAGATCAGAATCGTTTGATACACGTTTGAGGCATTGCCAAGGCCAGGGAGGTGCAAGAGAAGAAGATTTGCCCATCACTCCTAGATGCGTAAAGGCGTGGAAGTTGCCTAGGTATGGATACTTCAAGACTATGGGCATTCTTTGTTCTCTCCCTCAACCGTAGAGGCGCAGACCAGACCCCTGGCCTTTAAGCAAGCAGGGTTTTCGCCCTTTCTCTCTCATTTTTCTCCTTGAGATCAATGAGACTTTCTCCACAAGTGAGTTGAAGCGTGCAGCCGACCAGGGAGACTGTGGAGGCGTTTATGACTCCTTTATTGGCCTGGGATGTACAGAGCTCCATGCGTTCTTTGAAAATAAACCGGTGTTAGATATGTATTGTCGAAGGCTTAGATGTTTACAGGTCTAGGGATACCGCCGGGAATATTATCTGCGCCCTGTTCTGCAACACATCTCTCTGTGTTTCCGGGCTGTATGGCCATTTTCCAGAAGCATTCTCGCCTGACGTCTCGCCTGCATCTATATCAGGCATTCTCAGAGGTTGTGAGGTCTGTTGGAAATTAGGAAAATGTGCATATCTCTGTGTTTATTGGGGAAAGCAAGGGGAACCGTGTAAACTAAGTGTCCTCCAGGTAAGGGGTGGAATAAAGGAGGATGCCCTGTCACTAACACATCCCAGGAAAACAAAGTGACAAGGAATATTTTTCTTTTCTTGGGCCTTTGCTTTTTATTTAATTATTTACGACATTTATTTGCCACCCTTCTTACCCCGAAGGGGACTCAGAGCGACTTACAAGATATATACACACACACACACACACACACACACACACATACATACATACACACAAACACATATATACATATACATATATATATACACAATATATTATTAGCATAGTACAATATCAGTATTAAATATTACTATATTGTAGTATACCATTATATTGTAATATTATTAGTAATATTACATGTAATATAAATATATAATTATAATAATATATTATTATATTGCATTACATTATAATATTATAAATATATGTGCATACAATATATTATATTATATTGCATTATATTATATTATTAGAATAGCACAGGAGACAAAGTGGAACTATCTTCTGCCCCCCCCCCCCTTCACTCTAGCCCAGAGCAGCGGTTGGTGCAGGGGGGAGGGATTCCCAACTAATGACATATGTAGGAGACAAGATGGAACTGTCCCTTAGCCCCCTCTCTCTTCACTCTGGCCCAGAGGGCAGTTGGTGCTGGGGGGGGGGGTGTCTCCAGCTGATGACAATATATGCAGGAGACAAGATGGAACTGTCCTCTGCCCTCCCCCCTCTCTTCACTCTGGCACAGGAAAGTTGGTGCTGGGGGGAGGGTCCCCAGCTGATGACATATGCAGGAGACAAGATGGAACTGTCCCCTGGCCTCTCCTCTCTTCACTCTGACCCAGAGCGGCAGTTGGTGCTTCTCTACTCCCTCCCTGCTATAAGAATAGATCATCATCTTCTTTTGCACCCCAGCTTTAAAGTCCTACTGAGAAAGCACTACGGCTGGAATCTATGGCATTGCTCCCCAAATTTCCCAAACAATGGGTGTTATCGCCCTGATCTCGAAGTAGTACCAAAAGACACACAATCCCCGACCTGTCGCTTTCCTTTGGGTCCTTCCCCTGATTAATATCTCCTTAGATCCTAACCTTGCCAGGGTGGAAGTGACTAGAGGAGAAGAGGAATTCATCCCTAGGAGTGGATCCTGAGAAATAGATCGCAGGTGTCTTCGCTGCAGAGGTTGAACGGTCACCTGGCCCTCTTGTTCGTGAATCCCTTCTCCAAAAAGAGGAGGAAAGCTTCCGGACCCGAAGCAAGGAAGGGCATTTCCCATCAGGCGTCCTTTCCCTTTCCCTCCCCGAGAGGCCAAAGCCGCAGGCCCCAGTTCGCCCAGTTTGCCCCCGACGGAGCCAAACACAACCGGCGAATGGCCAGAGCAAGCCAGGCTCTGGTGTTAACCTCAAATAAAATGTTCTATAGCAATGTGAAGCGGTGCAGGGAGTTTTTTCATTTGTGAACTGCAGCTTCTGAAGGCTTTCAGGAGAAGCGGGTCACGATTTCTTTGGAGCAGCAAAAAAAAGGTAGTTCGAGAAATTGGGGAGAACCGAGAGCCGCAGAGCCAGGTTGGTCTTTCTGCACCCACTCTGGCTGCTACCTTGGAAACACAATAAGTTAATGTATGTGTGCATCTACACATCTACACACACACACACACACACATATATAGAGAGAGGGAGCGAGAGAGAGAGAAAGAAAGAGAAAGAAAGAGAAACTATATGCATATACATACATGTATATAGTATGTGCTTATGCCTACACACACAGATTTGTTAGAGTGTGTGTGTATATATATATACATATATGCACGCACACACTAATGTAATGGGGTTACCTATATATATATATATATACACACATACAGAGAGAGAGAAATAGCGAGAATATACATGCATATATACATATATGTATATAGTGTGTGCTTATTCATGTACACACATATATATTTGTTAGTGTGTATATGTATACATATATACACAGTAATATAATGGGGTCACCTATATATATATATATAGAGAGAGAGAGAGAGAGAGAGAGAGAAATAGAGTATATATGTATATAAACATACATGTATATAGTGTGTGCTTATGCATGTGCATGCATATAGATTTGTTACAAACACACTAATATAATAGGAGACCCTACACTTGGAAGGCAATCATACTCGGTCATGAGTGATAGCCTTTATTGATACCTTTATTGATGATGATGATATATAAAATGTTTGTATGTATATTGTGTATATTGTGTATTATATACACACACATACACACACATATATACACAGTTTCTTATATAATGTGTGTATATTTACATGAATACATATACATATTATATGTACATACAGAATGTATATATATAATGTGTATATATATATGTGTGTATATTTATAATATACATATAATATGTGCGACATAAACACATTATACATACACGCACACCCATTATAAATACACACACACATTAATTAATACACTCAGACATCTATCTATCTATCTATCTATCTATCTATCTATCTATCTATCTATCTATCTATCTATCTATCTATCTATCTATCTATCTATCTATCTATCTATCTATCTATCTACCTACCTATCTGTTCAGAAGCCCGTCCAGTCACTTTGGTTGGACCTAGTCACAAAGAGTCTGAACATACACCCCTCGCGCTAGAGAGATTCCCTTTAATTCCATTTGAACCCCTTGCGTTTTTTCCTCGAAGAAAGATGGGTCGCCCCTGGCTCCAAGGGCGCGACATTCCCAGCCATGATTGACTGGGATACAGAGACTCCTCCAGCGACAATCCTCGGGTCCTTCACTGGGTAGGATCCGAGGAGCATCTTTCCGAGTAAACATGAGAAGGAAAGCACCTGAAAGTGGAAACCGGGGTCTTTCGGGGAGTGAAGGGAGGAAGGAGATGCCCTGGAAAGCGCGCGCGTTTGAGGAGAGGCGAGGCTCCAATGCGGAGCAAGCCAAGAAAGGGCTTCGGAGCGAAGGGGTCTGGCGGCCTTCGGTCGGGGCAAGGCCACGGGGTCACTTCAGGGCCTTCAGCATCCCGTGGGCGAGCCCTTGGTTGGCTTGCTAGGATAGGAGAGTCCAGGTTTGGCTCTTTTGGGCTCCAGGTCTTTGGAAAGGCCAGCTTAGGACAGAAGGTTTTAGAAGGAGATGTTTGAGACTCCAAGCTTGGTCCTTTTCAAAAATAAAGGTCGGGTATATTCCTTTTCTCTTTCTCTCCCCTTTCAGCTCATGCTGGGCTTGGATTTATTTCAGAGTCACTACCCAACCCCTCCTCGGATCCATTCCAATGAACTATGCCGATGGAGCAGGAATTCTCACCACTCCCTTTTACTCGAGAGGAAGTCCCAAAGTTACTTCCGAGTAAGTAGGGCTTGTTCCTTTCCTTAGGAAAACCAAGCTGGTCATTCCATCCAAGTGTGTGCTCTTTATGCAAGGTCTTCATCAGTCCACATAGTAGTGTCTCGCTTGGTGTATGAGACAATGGACCTCCTTGTAACTTTCTCTGTCAGGGGTTTCTTGATCTGATTTTGGAAACTAAGCAAGATTGGGCCTGATTACCACTTGGATGGGGGATTGCCAATGAAGATCAGGTGCTGTGGGATCGCCTGCTGGAGCCGTTTGAGGGATGGACTAGGATCAGCATGGAAAACGACTGGGTGATCTTGGGCAAGTCCCACTCTCTCAGCCTCAGAGGAAGGCAAAACGGCATCTGAATACATTCTGCTAAGGAAACTCGTGATAGATTCGCTTTAGAGTTGTCACAAATGATGTGAAGGCACACAAGGACAACACACGTTATTGTAGGCAATGGAGAATAGCCTCTCTCTAAGAAAACCCTATGAAATCTATGTCGTTGTAAGTCCACCAGCGACTTGAAAGCATCCAGGAAAGTTTTTTGGTGTCCTAATTTAATTTAGTGTCCCTGTAGAGTAGGTATGGGCAGACTTGGGCCCTCCAGGTGTTTTGGACTTCAACTCCCACAATTCTTAATAGACACAGGTCCTCAAACGGAAAAGTTTTGTCAGGAAATAAGTAGATAGGTCTGGGAAATAGGCAGCGGGATAGAAGAGGACTGTGGCTGGATCTATACCAGGCCTGGGCAAACTTCGAGTTATTATTGTTATTATTGTTATTTATTATTATAAGCCCTCCAAGGGTGCATCTACACCAGAAATGGGCAAACAGGAAGGGTCCTGAGGCTGTTAAGAATGGTGGGAGTTGAAGTCCAAAACACCTGGAGGGCCCAAGTTTGCCCATTTTTGGTGTAGATACACCCTTGGAGGGCTTGTAATAATAAATAACAACAATAACTTTATTTTTATCCCCCGCCAACCATCTCCCCAAGGGGACTCGGGGCGGCTTACAAGGGACAAACCCAAATAATTACAGGTAAAAACACAAGCAATTAAAAACATCAGGTAAAATATAAAAACAATCACAATCGTAAACAACATCATAACAATTATGGCTGAGAAAAAGAACATAGCTGAGGTTCAGGCTTTCCTTCATAGGGTCTCCAAAACTCGAAGTACGGGATTTTGGAGGTTTTTCCTTGTTATGAGGCGCAGAAGGAAGATCTCCTAAACAGTTTTCTTCAACTCTGAGCTCCCTAGACTATTTAGAATACAACTTCCATAAGCATCACAGTCTTTGGGGATTGTGGAAGTTTCAGCCCGACACATCTGGAGGTTGGAGAAGGCAGAATCGTCCTTGAAGCATCTCCCTCTTTCAGCTGAGGACTAAAATACTCTTCCTTTTCGAAAAAAAATCACATGTACTTCACCTTTTGCTTTCTCTCTCCCATCCCTCCATCCTCTCCAGCATGTTTTCTGGTCAATCTTGCTGAACCCAAGGCGCCCAGGACTGTTTTGCAACCGAGTCAGCTTTATTCATCTTGGGTTTGAAATTTGATTTTTATTTTTGTGTAAACCAAGGAGTGTGATGAAGCTAAGATTGGCTAGAGCTTACGTGGGAAGTCCTCGCCTCAGTTCTGTGAAATGGGAAATGCTTCTGAGCGTGTGCAGAGTGTTTTTCTCTCCCCGCAGCCTAAGCGTAGGACTGGGATCTGGGACAGTCGTGCCACCGCTTTGGGCAACTCGTTCTTGATTCTGCCAAACCAACTGCGGCTGCATCTCAGGACAGAGAACCAAACCTATTGGCAGCTTCATCAGACTCCTTCCCCTCCCGCCCTGCCTTGATTTCTCTTCCCCTTCAACCGGCAGGGAGAGAATAACATCCCTCCATTCTCGGTGCCTAATCGTGTCTCTCTTCCCATCCCCTTGGCTTTCCCTTTTCTTGATTTATTTTAACTGGAAGGCTTCACATTTAGTTAGGCGAGCAAGAAAAGCTTCCTCCAGCTAACCTTTCCCCTCTGGCCAGTCAGTAAAGGCAAAAGAGCTCGGCCTGATAAAAAAAAGATAGCAACCTTGCTTGGACTTCTAGCAGAACAGTTTTATTTTTAGGCGTGAAGCAAGCAGCCTTTCCGTTCTGCGTTTGTGTGTGTGTTGATTCTCCAGATGTTACCTTCCATGAGCCACAAAGATGATGGAAAATGAGGCCCATCCAACAGCTGAAGGGGAACAATTTCATAGAATCATAGAATCAGAGAGTTGGAAGAGAACTTATGGTCCATCCAGGCCAATCCCCTGCCATACAGGAAAAGTACAATCAAAGCACTCCTGATAGATGGCCATCCAGCCTCTGCTTAAAAGCTCCCAAAGAAGGAGCCTCCACCATAATCAGGGTAGAGAGTTCCACTGCTGAACAGCTCTCACAGTCAGGAAGTTCTTCCTAATGTTCAGGTGGAATCTCCTTTCAGGTAGCTTGAAACCATTGTTTTTCCCCTCCCAGTTTCTTCTGTTGGACAATAAGACCAGGAGAGGGAAAGTTGGTCAGTGAAGTATCCTTCATATTTTTCCAAGAAAGTGGGAGAACAAGCCTCAGAATATCTCTTTGGAAATAATTTCCATTGAGTTTAATGCTAATTACATAGACACCTTGCACCCTTACAGCTAGGAGCCCGCATGGTGCATTGGGTAAAGCCTTTGTGCTGGCAGGACTACTGAAGGAAAGGTCATTGGAATCAGGGGAGTGGAGTGAGCTCCCACCTGTCAGCTCCAGCTTCTCATGCCTGGACATGAGAGAAGCCTCTCACAGGATGGTAAAACATCTGGGCATCTCCTGGGCAACATCCCTGCAGATGGCCAATTCTCTCACATTAGAACTGACTTGCAGTTTCTCAAGTTGCTCCTGACATGAAAAAAATCCGTTACAGCATTTTTTTTCACATACAAGAAGTATATAAGGTTTGTGCTTTATTTATTCAACACTATATATAGAATCAATAGAACCACTTAGGATAAATAGACATGCACATTACAATATGCAATGCTAAGTTACAGTACTATGCACATGTACCTTGATTTAAAAATCATTCATTCAATAGTACAGGCTCTGTGGTCTGCAGGGTTCTGTGAGTTGTAGTTTTAAAAAGTAGCCTTTCCACACTCAACTTGCAGACCTATATAAGAGCGTGCTGTTCCCTAATGCAAGCTCTCTACTCTCTGAAAACCTGATGTCTATAGAGCAAAGGTTACAGTCCATAATTTGGTCTATGAGGCATTGTCAGCTACTTGTCACTAGGCTTACAGACACACAAGGAGGCAGGAAATATTTCAGGTCAGTTAAGTTACCATAGGTTTAACCAATGAATCACATAGGTCACTCTAGAAGAGATGCGACTGTCTCTCAGAAGAGTAAGTGGGAATGTTAAAGGACATTTAACTGGATAGCCGAATCAGAAAGAAATCACACTTAATATGTATTTATTGGAAGTGTTAAAAATAACCAAAAATATAAAATTGCTGCAGGTGATGGTTGGGTCACCATAAATTGATAAGTGACTTGAAGGTGCATAACATGCATGCAATAGTTTTATAAAAGTGATTTTGCATTTTTAAACTTATGTGTTCTATGAAATAATATTTAAACCAGAGATGCAGAATGTGCAGCCTGTCAGATATTGCTAGACTCCATCTACCATCATCCCAATACTGATATGAATAGTTATGAGGACATGAAATTCAGTTCATGTTGATTCAACAGCATTTGGGCTGCTCTCAGTATTTTCTGCTGTTCTTTGGAAGTCCATATTGGGATGTCAAATTTATTATTTATCTATTATTTGAAATATTTATATTCTGCCCTTCTCGCCCCAAAGGGGACTTATGGCAGAACAAAAACATATACATGGCAAGCATTCCATGCCGGAACATAAAATAACTATAAATATACATAACACTAAAAACAGTTACATCTACTTGAAAATCAGTTGCTTAAAAACCATCTCAACCATCTCAAAGCACCATGCTGGCAGAGTGGGTTTTCTATTACTGCCCTATTGCACTGTCCCAAAGCCTTGGTCCCACAGCCAGATTTTTTACCATTTTTCTGAGGGACAGGAGGGAGGGGCTGATCTAATCTCACCAGGGAGGGAGTTCCATAGCAGGGTGGAGTGGGGTGGGGGGGAGGGGAATCACCAAGAAGGTCCTCTCTCTCATCTGCCCCAAACGTGCCTGTGATGGTGGCAGACCGAGAGCAGGGCCTCCCCAGAAGATCTTAGTCTTTACGGTGGTTCGAAGAGGGAGATGCGTTCCACAGGTAAACTGGGCCTGGGCCATTTAGGGCTTTATAGGCCAAAGCCAGCACTTTGAATTGTGCCCAGTAGCAAACAGGCATCCAGTGGAGCTAACGTAACATGAGAGTTGTGTGCTTCCTGTTTGCCACCCCAGTCATTGGCTGCCTCTTGTTGGACTATTTGAAGCTTCCGGACAGTCTTCAAAGGCAACCCCACATAAAGTGCATTGCAGTAGTCTATCTCGGATGTAACAAGAGCATGGACCACTGTGGCCAAGTCTGACTGGTGCACAAGTTACTTAATGAACCTGAGCTAATCATACTCCCCTAGTCCAATCTAGCCCAAAGAGTTACTGTGAGAAAGTTATTGAATGTAAACTGTACATTACAATTTAATGGGCTCTTGGTATCACTGGGCTTTGGTTCCAGAACTACTTGTGAATACCAAATTCTATGGATGCTCAAGTCCTATTATATGCAACTATATATTTGAGTAAAATGGTGTCCCTTCTATCAAATGGCAAAATCAAACTTTACTTTTGGGTTTACATTTTGGAGGGGGGGGGGGKAGGGGTATTTTCTGTGGATGGTATAATCCATGATGGCAGAATCCTTGCATACAGAGGGCCAGTGGTATTCATTTATTTAGGTAAGCATTTCCCTGTTAGAATGAGAGGGAATATACAGGAAACAAAATAGATACCAAGTCTATTGGAGAAAAGATG